AGATATAAAGAAGTGTTTACTCGCGTCTATAAAATAGGGAATAGTTCCCAAGAGGGATAAGGATTACCCTTCCATATTCAAATGAGAAGTTGGGATACAGTACTGTCTTCATTTCACACTTTATTTTTTAACTTATATGCAGTAATCAATTAGGCTCGATTTAATACCACCATAAGGCCCTCAAACGGCTAGAAGTGGAGCCTAGTAATCAATCGTTACAAATAAATTAGGATTCACTGATACACGGGCGTTGTACTTAATAATTACTTTCTTCATCTTTCCTATTGAATTCGAAAAAAACTGAAACATTGTATGTACACAAAAGATGACGCATAACATTGAAAAAAGTACAAACACTCCAAAAATACATCGATCATCGATCTGTTCAAGGCTGTAATCTAATCTTCCTAAATAATAATTAACCTCTCAGAAATTTTGTTCGTGAGGAACCAGGCAGCTCTATTGGCACCTTAATAAGTAGCCAATCCATGACCTCCATCTGTACAGTATGATCTGATCACGTGCTTTTTTTTCTTTTTTTTTTTTTGTCAAATACCAAAAAAAACGAATGGTACCATGTGAAACTACTGATGAGGAGGTTTTGTTTGAATGCTCAGAGTCATCAGAGTTTCTTGTCAATGTTATCTTAAAAGGCTACCAAAATAAAATAAATTATTTGCCAAATCATGCTTGTAGTATGTACAGTTAAAAAAATTCCTAATGTAAATTATTTTACATCTATTAAATAATACATTGTACTAGTCTCAAATCAGGAGTCTAGCAAGCTATGATGAGAGTGAGGGAACACTGGCCGATGCATTTGTTTCATCAACTCAAATTGAACTTAGGTTTTCCTGTGCATAACAAGACCAGGTCATTAATGTTGTATCATGATGCCTGCTAATGAAAGGATGCTACTGCTAAGTGTTTAGTACCGGTTTGAGAGTTGTCCTGTCACCAATAATAACATGCAAATAAATTACTGCAAGATACTTGGCATATAACGTAAGATTAATTGGTGGAACATTAAAAACACCATGGTCCCTCAACTTCTCTTACTAAATTTCCTATCCGGTTTTTACTTACAGTAGACTATGAAGACCCTAGAGCAGTGATTTTTTCAATTGCTCTAAATTCTTTAAATTTTCCTTCTGAAAGTCTGAGAGCATGCAACTACTTAATAAATGTTTGACCAGAACCATTTTTCACATATTATATCAACTAGAAGTCATCGTCTTTATTTTGCTCCTCGCCTGGTGAAATGTACGATCCATTACCGCTTGGTGTGTACTGGCCCAAACCCATTGACCTGAGGTGTGCATCATGCATCTTTTTTGCACGTCGTGTTCTTGCTGACATTTCACGAGTTGATATCTGGGGAGCTAAAAAGACATAGGCATACCCTATTAATTTATGTAATGTGGCATTTACATACCGCAGTAATATAACTAAAAACGCTTACAAGAATACTGTTATTTTAGTGAGATTTAAAGCAACAAAACATTGTGCTTGTTATTTGGAAGTTGTACCCTCTTAGTGAGGTTTCTGTAAAAGAGAGAAATCTTCAATGCTGGAGTTGACTGTTTCATAAAGGGTAACATCATTTTATAATAAGATATTATATTTTATTTTTTGTGTTCTAAAGAGGTGTTTCTTATTTTTCGAGTTCTAAAATGTATCTCTAAACAAGTGCCACGGAAAATTTGATTGCCTCATTTAGATGTTATGCATCAAAGAACTCAGGCCTAGTCTTAATATTTAGAGTGACTTAATTAGCATGAAACTCTTTGTTTAAGTAACTGTCATAACCATTAAATCTTTGCAAAGCAGCACTTATATATATCCTTTGTTTTCCAACCAAACTCCTTATAACAAAATCTCATCTGAGTCTAAGTAACACAGAAGTGCTATGTGGGAAACATGTAAAATTGTAAACTTTTCTTGGCTATTGTTTGTCACTTTTCTGATTGGTCAAAATCCTTTACCAGAAAAAAAACACACCCTTTAGAAATGGAATTTAAATGCATTTTATTTTGTAAACTACCTTTTGGAGGTTTATGCATTCTCCGTGTGAAAAGGAAAACATTTCTATGTGAGGAAAGTATATCGTGCCATAACAAAAGGAATTGTTTCCTGTCTTGCCTGGATCATTACTTAACTTGTCATATATTATTTTAATATGTTACTTTTCTTTTTAATGATCTATTGCTTTCTCTAGTATTTCTAGAACATGCATGCTATTTTCTGAGAAAATAGCATGCATGATGTCTGAGAACGTCGAAACGTCGTCATGCTTTTTAAAATAACATTTCTTAAAATTTTTTTAGCAAAATTTTACTGCAATTTTTTATAGCCACAAAAAAATGTTATTTACAATATAAATGACTGAAGATTGTTTTAATGGTGTAATTAAAGTCCTACCTCCTGCCATCCTAAGTTTGCTGTTCAAAAGATTTTTCTTGTGCACCATATCATTAATTTCATGATCTGTGCTTGGAGAACTTCTTGAATCCAAAAAATCATCGGGCTGGGTATCTGCTGATGAAGCATGAAAACCTCCACCAAACTTTGGTTTATCTGAGTATGAAAAGTTTGAGCTTCTTGCCATACTCCATGATTTATGATCTGAAGGAAAATGCCAAAGAAAATGATATAAAATTACACTACTGCATTTTGTTTAACACCGCACACTGTAGCGGAGTGTGAATTGGTATACCTTAAACCAGTCTACAGTATTTGAAAAGGTCCAATTCAGTTCCACTGAATTGAGATAGGAGATAACATTGAGCTACTTGTGCATGATCAGTTAAAGGGGTGTGGGAAGAAAAACCCTACGGTGTTTTCTTGCGGACTCTCTCCTTAAAGGGTAATTTACACTATACACTAAACGTATGTCATATGCGGTGTGCTTGCAATTAGCATGTACATTGCAAATCACACTGATGACATTCACAAGTTAGTCGTAATTTGTGTTGTAAGCTTATCACAAGCACATGAGAAAGATGTACCATATAAATCAATCTCAAGGGATTCTCCTTCTAAATTGTCCCACTGTATTGATAGGAAGTGAGAAGTTGCCATGCAGCCTTTCAAGTCTTGTTGCAATAGATACTGTTTTAACCAAAAACATGTATGCCATCTCTCCAGTACACACAACAACTCTCCTGCTCTCCCGGGGTGCTTGACATTTACATGTGAAACTGTTTGGTTGAAAATCTCATGAATAAACGCTTTTAAATGTTTATTCTCCCACAAGATCAGATTAGTTGTTGACCTTGTGGAAGAATAACCCACTACAAAGTATATCTAAATCAGCTGAACTGACCAGAAAGAGTATAGAAATTGCATGGTCTCAACTGACAGCCTATATTTTCTGACACTTTCCAAACAGAATGGCACAAACCATTTGATTTTCCAGTTTCCCCATGTAATGGTAAAAAGCCCTGGTCTCCTGTACATGTCACCAAATCTCCAGTGTGAAATTAGGGCCATTTATACGAGGAAAAATAAGACGCGTCTTACATAAGATGTGTCTTAAACGCATCTTAAACGCATTTATACGAGCATGTCTTATCTACGACGAGAAAAGCTCGTATAAATGGTTCGCGTCTTATTTCTGTTCTTGACTCGTTTTCATGTGAATGTTGCCCATAGCAACGGCAACCAACAAGGTGTGAAAATTTTCCCGCCAAAAATTAATGCATGCATACCATGCGTTCGCGTCTTATGTAAGACGCGAACGTCATTTATACGAAGTCTTTCTCATCTTAGCTAAGACGCGTCTTATCTAAGAACAGGTGTTAAGGGCTGTTCTAAAATAAGACGTGTCTTAGCTTAGTCGCGTCTTATTTTAGACAAAATGTGCCGTAAAACGCGTCTTATTTTTCTTTGTATAAATGGCCCTATTGTGTTTTGAGCACTGTTCTATAGGGGGATATGTTATTTTTAAAAAACCCTTGATTTTTCTGAAGGCCCACTTACAGTGTAAGGGCCTACCTCCACTAATAACAAACTTGGAATTGTCTTTGAAACATCTAAGCCAAAAATTGCATGGTGACAGTTTTTGTTTAGAAAAAAATTATCAGCACTGTCTGGAAACTATTTACTCTTAACTGGCTTTCGCATCTGTCACTACTTCATGGACATATCATACAAGCCTTGAATGAAGAGTTAAAACTATGCTGGTGTTGAATTGAGCAGAATAGGCCTACACCTAGAAAAACATTTTGGTATCATTTTTTTCTCTCTATAGAAAAAATGTTTACACTAGGGAACACAGATAGGATTATATCTTCAGAGAAGATCAACCTTCCATCTTAACGAGTTTAAGTGTTATCTCGAAACTTAAGAAACATGAGATGAAAAATTATTAGCACAATTTTTTAAGTAAACTTTTCCTGCTGTTGAGTAGAACAAGTACAAATGTACCCAAGCACAATAATCTCATTTTCAATTACGCCTACTTTTCGGTTTAATTAATTTAACTTAAAAAGTATCAGATGGAAATATGTAAGAATTACCGGTAAGCATCATATTCAAATCTTTCAATTTGTTAAACAAGATCTGTTACATCCCTTAAAACCATAAGATTATTTTAGATATTCCTATCTAGAAGATTCGCTTAACATTCCTGAGTATCCAGGGAATGGATAATTCTTTGACAAATAATTATTTAAGTTACCACACTGAAAGCAGGTGAATTTTACAACGTACAAAACATCACTTATTAATTAAAACCGACTTTCACTCAGCTAGCGACAAAACGGTTTACTCGCAGTGCGGTAAAATTTAATGAAAAAACTGTCACCGCAAAATAAACTTCGACAGAAAACACCACGTACACGACATATAAATGATACCTACCACCACTTGAATTGAGAAATTCGTCGTTTTGCGCTCTGTTCAGTGCCGAACTTTCCGCATCTCCAGAACCTGTGGTGACGGGGTGAAAAAAAGTCTCGGTTGAAAATTGAGCTAAGCGTAAAACTATTAAGAGCGGTTGCTAGATTAAGAGTTTGCGTTCGAGGTAAACACAAATTCGCCGCAACAATGGCCGTTTTTATACTAGAGGACGCACTATTCGTCCAGACGGATAATGCGTCTGTGGCCGTTTTTATACTAAGGACGCATTATCCGACCAGACGAACTTGGGCAAACATTTGTAGTTCATCTAGTTATGTGTCTCAAGTATAAAGACGGGCACAAGACGCATTATACGTCTGGACAAACTTTCCTTCGAAATACGTCTTGAACGACGCACTACGAAAGGTAGTTCGTCTGGACGCATAATGCGTCTTGTGCCCGTCTTTATACTAGAGACGCATAACCAGACGAACTACAAAATGTTTGCCCAAGTTCGTCCAGACGGATAATGCGTCCTTAGTATAAAAACAGCCAATAGCTCAAATTAAGCTTACGATATCAAAAACAAAAGCTCATTTGAGAGAGCGGCCGTTTTAGTCTGAAATTAAGCTTATGATTTACTGAAGAAAAATAAAGAAGCCAAGTTCAAAGATTATGAATTAAGCTTACGTACTGCAGATTACTGCAGATTAGAATAGTTTATTTAACACACATTTAGGCCTACCACTCAATCCGCCGTGCCTTGAATAATATGAAGGTGTCGATTTGTTTGTGTTTAAAAACGTGCCGTTCTTGCTAGCTTGGCTCACTTGAACGTTTTTGCGTATACTCCAGACGCCGTCTAGTTCGGATCCTGTGTGAAGAGTTTACGAAAGAGAGTAATCAGCAAAGAAATGTCAGTAAACGGAGACGTCATTAAACCAAACATCGCTCGTACCTGGCAAGTTGCGATTGTCTTTTGTTTTAAGAAACTTATTTTTAGGCTGGAGAGCAAGTTCTAACCCATCTTCAATGTCAGGATCATCTGTACGCCAAGGATCATTCTTTTTATTTTTTCCGGAGTTGTACAGAAATTTGCTTGGTCGGCTGCCTGTAAGTGGAACAAAATTCACGTCACATTACCGGTGATAACCAAAACCTTAGCTTTTTTTAAATAGTCGAAACGTTAAGCGAAATAAAACAGCTCTAGTACCGTCAAAGCTCTGGTTTCCTGACTGTCCAAATCCCCGTCCAGAGGACATGTTTTCTCCTCATTGTGTCTTTGACGAGCGTAGTGAAGAAGGCATGAAGGAGCCAAATGAAAACTTTGCTGTGGGATCTGTGGGATCCAGGCTCTTTGATCTGCCAACATTTCGCACAGGCATACCAAAGAACTTTTAACAGGACACCTGAAAAAACAAATATTTTCTTGTTCTTTTGAGATCCTTGCTTGCTTTTCCACAGCCAATGTAAAAAAAATGAAGTCAAAACTCGGCTTCCTCTTTTTTGGTTACTTTCCTTTCTCCTTTAAATTAAACTCTAACATAATGTACATGCCCCTCTAGGGTAACGTAAGGAGAGATTGTCGCTTTCCTTGACAACCCCAGGACGCCGAATGGAAATGCGCGCTTTATGAACGGTTTTGAAGAAACAGGACTTGAGTTTTTTCTTTAATTTTATTGGGAAAAATCTTTGATATATAATTCTGGCCAGCGATGTCGGCAGGAAATCCACGAGCTTCGCGTTTATCGTCTGCAAATGGCAAGAAAACGCGAAGATCAGCCGAGGAGAACGAATTAGTTGGCGCGAAAGGCCAGTCGAAACCACGAATTTCGCCGTCCGTGATAGAGCATGGATTCCATACCGATAAATACAAGACACATTACAGTGCTTGGACGCCTGTTATGAATACAGCCTCCAATAATCAAGTAAGTCAGCAATTTAAAGTTGCCTTTTATTCTCATTTTCCGGTTTGTAACTGTGTTTAAACAACCAATTTGAAGTCCTTTGTGATGGTTCACAACTTCACAGTTTGAATTTTGAAAAGGCACTTGTGCTAATTGAGAGCTTCTTATTGTTTTCTACTCTGCTTCTACAGATATTTCTGGAACGGCTAGAGCTCATCGGACACTGGGTAAGACATTAAGAGAGCTTACAACGAGAAAAAGGAAATTCAAATTGGCCAGCAGAAGCAAAATAAAAATGTGGAAACGAAGCTTAAATTTGTAAAACATCTGCTTGTCAGCCATAAAGTCGGATCGGCCTTGAGATCGAGACTTCATGGGCATCTGTCGATCTCTTAAACCTTAATACACGACGTTCAGTGAACTGGAATTTTAGGCTCTTTTTTTACAGCAAGACTTTCTCTGCACATAATGAAGAAATGACTTTCACGAAGTCAGTACGAAGTTGCCATCGATTAGACACGTCGGGTCAAGGGCCTGTGATAGGGTTGCAGAGATTGCAAGATCGTTGGAGATCTAAAATCTGGAGACTCTTTCTTTCACATTAACCGCTGCAAAATATTAACTACCACTCCCCCCCACCCCCGCCTCTGATATTCACAAATTGACGGAGCCCCCAAAATATAACATGGGTGTGGCTATAGACATTATACAAAGTCTTAAAGGAAGTGCAGACCATCAAAGTTCACTTTGACGAAATAGTCTTTGCAGTGAAAAACTTAAGCACAGAAAGCTCAAAAGGGAGATTTGGCGACCTGTATGGGAGACTGGGAGATTGGTACCATATCCGGGGGACTCTCACATAATCTGGGAGAGTTAGCATATTATATGGGGTGCACATAGTCTCTGATGTGGTAGTACTCCATTGCATTTGCTCAACACAGCAGAGATTATTCCCAGTCAAAACTGCTTGGCAATTTCCTTTTCATTTTTTGGCAAATATTTTGCACGCAATAGTGCTTTGCTTATCTTGTGCATCGCATCAGTGATCTGTGCCCATCCCTACCTCCCCAGGGCAACTATACTAGGCATTTGCACACTAAGTTTTGAGGTTGGGGTAGCATGGGCCAGGAGTTTGCCTACCTTCGGGCTACCCCTAGCCTTTGAGACACATGCATGTTATTCGCTTCAAAATCCATATATGGAGGATTTTATAAGAGAGGACCAGCAGTTTATTACAGTTTGACTTAACCATCAAGGACTGGACAAACTTGTAGAGGTTTTTAAAAGTATATTTTCTCAGTTTTATTCATTTTTTTATTGCTTAATCAAGCCACAACTCAAGCTATCACTGACTACATACTGCAAAAACTGCTGCAGTGTTTATTGGGGATGAACCCAGGGGCAGGGCATTTTCTCTCTTCCTTTATTCCATATGTGGGGCATTTGGCAGGTTAAGGGTTCCCACCCTCTGGGACTTGCCATCTAAGAAAAAAAATGCTAATGCTTAGTGATAAATATGCTCAGTGTAGGATAGACACAGAATGCCTGGGTCATTTAATGACCCAGGCATTCTGTGTACATACAGAGCCCACATACATGACGCACTCTGACTGAGCCTGTTAATCATCTGGTAATCATTGACAGGGACGCATTAATTTTATAGATACAAGATTTTCTGATAGTAAGGTTACTGGATGTGCATTTGTAATTCAAAGTTTCTAGGACATATTCACACTCTCACTATCGTCATCATTATCATCATGAACAGCAACATGTTCATTTTCATCATCACTAATATCTGGGGTTAAATTCTATTGCATAATGTTCCACTGTTTCACATGTTGGATAAATGGTGATTAGTGATTAATTTTTTCAGTTCTCCATGTGGACAGATGCTCAACGAAAAAAATTCCTCACCTTCATCTTAAAGAAATGTACCAAATCTCAATTAAAGTTTGTCAATGAAGGTTGGTTCAAGAAGCAGCTTCCAATACATCACTTAGACTACACCACTGTTCTGCCCCGCTTTATTTGCACATATATCTTCTCGTTCCTTGATCCAAGAAGCCTTTGTCGTGCAGCTCAAGTCTCATGGCACTGGAAATTTATTAGTGAGCAGGATGTAATTTGGATGCCGAAGTGTCTACGGTTTGGCTGGTATTTGCCATACACCCCCAATAATAGGGAATATGGATGTTGGAAACATCACTATATCATGTGTACTGGATCTCTTGATATGGAAGCTCCATCAAGAATGGTAGGTTACAGTCTGAGGCAGGATACTTTCTTAAAGTGCCGTATTTCCTCGAATAATAGCCAGGGGCGATTATTTCTTTTTGGGCATCAAATGGGGGAGACTGTTTGAGGGAAGGCGATTATTTTGAAATATTGCTCACTGGAAGTCGTGCCCTAAATATTTTGTTTTATTATTCCATTAAATCAAAAAATCATAACATCAAATAAACTGAACATGGACTTTTTAAGTGTTCCAAATCTGTTTCGGATCCTTGATTAATATTCAGAGCTTGAATTGTCACTGATCAGTTTTGCTGGATCAGATTCGTCTTCAACTTGACAGATAATAGAGAGAGAAGATGGCAAGAGGGGTGGGGAGGGGGTGATTATTCAGGGGAGGCAATTATTTTCAAAATTTCCATCATAGAGAAGCATTTTAAATATTCGAGGGAGGCAATTAATGGAGGGATGGCTATTATTCAAGGAAATACAGTACTTAGTCCATTATCACCAGATTTTATTTGTGCTGAATTTTTAGTGAGGCCATGATTTGAGGACTTCATATCTAGAATGGGGGTGTCTGTATTTGAATGGTTACTTAGAAAGGGTGTACCTTGGGTGGACCACTGTCCACCCAGCTCTGTTAGTAGAAGATTGGTTCAAATCCGAACCAGAATGATTAGCGCAATCCAGGCTCATGGTAAGATCTTGCTGGCTGCTATGACCGTACCTAAAGTCAGTTGGGTGTTGATGTTGAACTGCTGCCCTTGTCTTGGAACTTCACCCTGCTTTCTTGTCAATTAAAAAAAACAAACCATGCTTTGCACATAAGAACCTTGTGTTGTCTGGGGTAACCAGTCAAGTTGTCCCAAAGACATCTCACCCAAAATTAGGTTGTCCAAAACCAGAGTTATCTTGACCGAAGTGCTAATTTATGTTGTGCAAAGTTTTAACATTTCACGCGACATTTATAACTCTGGTTTTGGGTGACATAACTTCAGTTGAGAATGACTTTCATGCCACTTGACAGTAAACCGGTGTCAGGCCTTTTATTTCTTCTAAGGGTTGTTTAGGGAAGAAATTGTTGACTTGACCAAAGGTAGTTAGTGCAAGTTTTTGTTGTAATGTTATGTCATTATGATAACAAGAGGGAGATTGTAAACTTTAAGGTTGCTGACATTAGTGAGCTGAAACTTAATCAGTGTTGCTCAGCTGGGACTGAATTTCTTTATGCTACATACTCATTGTATGGATACCTGCATGATGAAAATCAACCCATTTTTAAGGGAAAAGCCCTGGGGACGAGGTTGGATGAAAATTAATCGGTTAAATGCTCCTTTTATTTCTCTTCATAAATTCTTCTAAAAATTTTTCCGTTATACATAATACAGTCGACTCTCTCTTAACGGACACCTCTATTTATTTATTTATTTATTTATTTTATTTATTTATAACAACTTTATTTGTAATGATCAATAATCAATACAAAAAGGCTACCATCAGGGAGGAACTGAATCTGAATCTGAATCTGAACTGAACTGAATCCTCATATAAGATGATCCCCTAAATGATGACCCCCTATAAGATGGACACCTAGAATTGGTCCCTGCCTTTGTTTATTTTCTTTATTTCACTCTTTATAAGATGAACATCTCTCTAAGACGGACACTTAGTGTCGGTCCCATAGGTGTCTGTCTTAGAGAGAGTTGACTGTATGATTTACAATACAGTACTGTAATTCAATATACTAGCAGGAACAAGTACATTGTATTCTTTATTTCTTCAGGCAGAAAAGTATGGGCAGTTTGCTGACAACACTGCTTTTATGGCTCAGGAAAAAGAGAAAAATAAAGTACCTATAGAGAAGAAAAAGATCAAAGAAGCTACTTACTATAAACAAGGTAGTCAATTATCAGTACTGTACGTTTTTTGATTTATGGGTAGTAGACTGCAAATGACAATAAAATTATTAAAATTAATTTTCAATGTACTTTTTGTTTATTTTGCAGTCTCCATATACAGGTTGTATAGGCAATTGCACCTGACCTGTGGCAGGAAACTGCCTGCAATTAATATAACAACCTTTTCTTTAATTAATAACAAAATTAGATTTTTGTATGTCCCCACTTCAATGATAAAACTTGAGGTAACTTGTAGTCAGTAGAATGAAAGACGGTAAAAATGCTTA